CTTACACAAGTCACAGATAAGGAGGTAGAAAAATGTTAGCTACCTCCCCACAAAGGTTATTTCTACCCATCGGTTTCTTGGACAGTTTTGTTCAACCCTCCATCCAACTGTACTAACATTCAGGCCACATTTCTCTGTCACATTCATAGGAAAATCATGACATGTCATCAGAAGCCACATAGGAATGTTATTCAAAAGTGACAGCTTGGGTCTGGCCTACCCTGACCTTGGTAGCCCACGTTGGCCTTTTTCTCTCCTGGGCATCATTTCCTGAGTCCCTGCCCTGAAGCTGGGCATCCATGTCAAAGCTGCTCCCCTCACAGACAACGCACTCACACTAAGCCTGTGTGCAGGACCCTGGGCACCTCCCAGGGCTACCCTTGCCTATGTGTGTCCTTCCAGGGATGATTTCCTTCCCAGTGTATATGTAGGAAGAGCTCTTATTTCACAAGTCTAGCTTACCAAAGTCACACGGTTACATAGGTTAAAACACAAGCAGTACTCTAAAGCTTACAATTAAAATTACTAATGCTCAGTACCCTACCCGACACCTCCTCACTACCCCTGCCCTCCAGAGGCAGCATTTTATGAACAGTTTGCTATTTCTTAGTTCTGTTTGGTTTTGGAGGTGTTAGGATTCAAACCTAAGGCCTCGCAAGTGCTAAATACTCTACCAATACTGCCATTTATCAATATTTTTATTGTAGATATTATCCTGTGACATCCTATTATAAAAAAGTATTTCTTTCCCTATATATAATTTTCCTTCCCCCAGCCTCCCAATATAAAACAATTTGCTTGAATCAATATTCAGTGTTTAGGGGCTGGGGACATAGCTCAGTTGGTAGAGTGCTTGCCTTGCATGCACAAGACCCTGAGTTCGATCCCCAGCACCACAAAAAAAGAAAATCAGTGTTTATATTATTATTAATATATGTATTATTCAAACATTGCTCACAGCTAAGTTCCATAGCACAACATGATTACATTTTCTTTTTTTTTTTCAAGGCCTTTTGTTTTTCCCAGAGTTACTAATGACTTTGTTTTTCTTTTGCTTAAATTTCAGTGTGTCTATCATTATTTCATTTGTCCCCAAGCGTTTTTCCCTCCCAGTACTGAAGATTAAACCCAGGGACAAGTGTAAAGCTACCACTGAACCACAGCCCAATCCCTTTCCTTTTTTCTCTTCTTTTTTTTCTTTCTTTCTTTTTTTGGACACAAGTTCTCACTAAATTTCTCATGCTGGCCTTGAACTCTTAACCTTGGCCTCCCAAGTAGCTGACATTATTATAGGTCTGTGCTACCACACTCAGATTCATCCCCAAACTTTCTGCAGAACTATAGTTTCTCTCAACATAGTTATAATATCAACATTGGTAGATTCATTTTGTTTTCTTGGGGTACCACTAGTGGCACCTGACTCCTTGGTTCTAATCTGGATAATTGCCTTCCAACCCCACTGATCATCACTGTCCTTTGGCTTCCCTGCACTATCATGATGGTAATGCATTTTGCCTTCCTTTATGTTGAAATCCTTTGTTTCCTGAATTCTAATGTCTTCTTTTTCCTCGGCTTACTTACTAGTTTGAATGGAGCACAACCTCCAAAAGATTTCTCAAAGAAGGTCTATAAAACATCTTTTTCAAAATCTCCATGTCAAAAATATTGTTATTCCACCTTCACTTGGGTTCACAGTTTAGCTGATTCTAGGCTGGAAAAATTTTCTTAGAATTTTGAAGGTGTTTAGGCACTGCCTTCCAACATAAGTCCAAAGTTACTCTGGTTCCAGATGCACCATATCAATCAACGTTTTCTCCTCTATGAAAGACCTTCTCATTATCTCTGGCATTCTGAAATGTCATGATGACTGACTTAGTTGGTGTAGGCCATCTTTTATTCCTTCTGCCATACCTGGAGTCCCCTGGTTTTCCTTTCAGGCTTACAGCGAGACTCTGAAGGCCAGGCAGACGCTCCCCCTGCTCACGTGCCTGGTGGTCCTCAGTCAGCAGCCTGTGTGGCTCTCTCTTAAGAGAGTGAGCTCCTTTTTTCCCCTGTGGTAGGGCAGGGCTGCCATGTGGGTTGCAGGGTGAGAAATGAATTCAATGCAACTTTCAATCTACCTGTTTTCACCTGACCCTGGCATCCGGGAATTCAGAGGTTCCTGAGACTCTGGGTTCTTGATTCTGTCACCCCAACCCCTTCAGGCAATTCTCTTTCAGTTTTCCCTCAGTTAAGTCTGGATCATGGGTCATCTGCTTTGAACTTTTCAAACTTTTTTTGACCTCTCTCATCTACTGTTATCACTTGTTTTCCTTTTATCCTCATAGGTTTTGGTTTTTTTCCTTTGAGAAACAGAAGATGCTGTATTTTCCATGTTAACTTGAAGCTCTCTGAATTTGGCTTTCTTAATTTAATTGGAGACAGCTCTGTATCAAACATCCTGCTCCTCCTCCTTTTCTCTAAGGATGGTGTCCCATGATGCAGTATATTAGTACTTTGTCACCTGGGTCCTCTTGATGCAAGGGTAATGCCAGGTGGAATGTCATTCCCATTTTGAACCAGAACACTTGAGCGTCTCCAGCCTTGCTGGTTCGCCTCCATTCCTCAGAGCTTTTGACAGCTGCTGCACAACCTCAGCTGTCCCCTGCCTGTGATCTCCTGGGTCTGGAGCCGCCCTTGGTTGAAAGCCACAGAGATCTCTCTAGTATCACCCCACCAACTTGGAGTTTCTGACCCCCGTGTACTTGTCTCATCTGTCTTATTTAAAGGTGTCCAATATGGAGACACAGAAGCAAGGTAGAAGTTGACCCCTCTGCCTTCCACTCTGCCTTCCTTAAGCAGTGGCAGTCCCACACCATGCCAGCATTGGCCCTTGCATGGTCTCCATGGCCCTGAAAGGTGGGAGCCTCCTAGGAGGCAGAGGGGACAGGTATGGGCCCCTTGTGCTCAGGAATGGAGCCAAAAGAAGGGATGGGCCAGAAAAAGCTTAGAGAGATGCTCATTGGAGAAGTTTGGGCTGAAGTGGAGCCTTCCTTGGCAGCCAGGGGAAGGTCAAACTGCACCCTTCTCATGGCAAGAGATCACAACAGGGCTGGAAAGAGGCTGGAAACAGGATCTGAACAAAGGCCACCTCAAGGCCTGGGTGAGCAGCTCAGAAGAGGGTTCCCTAGGGATGGCTTGCTTCCAAGGACCTTTTTCAGGGTCAGTGCAGAACAAAGGCAAGGGGAGGGGCCTTATCCACCAGAGAAAATCCCTCTCTCCTTTCCTCTGTCTCATCAGATCCTTACCTTCCAAAGATGCCACTCAAAAACCCCGGGGGGTGGAAGGAGGAGCAGCTGGGTCACACTCCATTGCCCAGAGGACAAGCCCGGGCAACCCCTGGGAGGTCTATCACTTTTTTAAATGACCTACCCTTTGCCTAGCAGCTCTGTGCTTACGAATGTCTTCTGAGGACTGACTCTCACCTGTTGGATATTTACATATAAATGCTTAATATAGAATTATTTGTAAAACTGGAAACTATAAACAACTTGTGTCCGTAACAGGGGGGTTGGCAATGAATTATGGTTCATCTACACGAGGGAATGATTCATGGCCATTAAAAAAGAATGAGGCAGATCTCTATGTGCTTTCTGTAAAACTGGCCAAGAGGAAAACTTCAACAACAACCACCAAAAAAGGTGCAGAACAGTATGAATGAGATGAATGCTACAGGACGCATGGGGTAAAACCGTTGAAGGACATGTGCATGGAAAATTCTGGAAACCTGGGGGAGAAACTGCTGGTAACTGGGGCTGTGTCAGGGAGAACAACTGGGAGGAGGAAATGGAAACACTTGTTTTTTCATTGGGGATTTTTATCCTATTTAAATTTTCTAGCCATGCTCACAATATTATTTCCTTTCATTTTATTTTTATTCATGTATTACCTTCTAGAAAATATCAATAAATGTTCTATGGGTAGGAGAATATAGGTCTTTGGGGCATTTGTGATGCTTTTTGTATTTGAAAAAAGCATGCAAATATTGTTTTTATTTTTTTAATTTTTTTTAGTTTTCGGTGGACACAACATCTTTGTATGTGGTGCTGAGGATCGAACCCAGGCTGCACGCATGCCGAGCGAGCGCGCTACCGCTTGAGCCACATCCCCAGCCCGCAAATATTGTTTTTAAAAGGGAAATAACCCAGCCCTGTGACTGCCCCTGGTCTCCACAGCTCTGCTACCTGGCCACCCCTCATCCCTATTTGTACTTGGAGAGGCTTATGCTTATGGCCACCAGGCTGGACATGGTGCCCAGGGAGGGTTAGCTCAAGCAGAGAAAACAGAGGGATCAAGCGGGAACAGGCCGGGGTTTAAATGGTCTCCTCGTTCCCACCTCCCCCAATTCCCACCCACCCCCAAATGTCTGTTATCCCTCTAACAGGTTTTGTTGAGCACCTGGCTTTGGCCAAGCATGTCCACACCTCTCATCATATCCACTCTCACCACAGTCCCATGGTAGGTGGCACTTGCCACATCTCCATGCAGGATAATGGTGGTCCTGGCCAGGAGGCTTCCACGCTGGGCAGGGATCTGTGTGAGAACAGGGCCCGACCTCTCATCCCACGCCCACTGCCTCCATGGTGTCTGGCACATAAGGGGCCCCGGAGGAGAGGCTCGGGCAGGACAGGGAGGGGGATGCACCCCAGTTCACACAGCCCATAGACGGCCAGAATGGGTTTCAGCCCTCCACTTCTTAAGTCCTTTTCTCATTTTCTTCATTGTCCCACGGAGGCCCTGACAGCTCTGTGATCCTACAGAACCGCTGCCTTGGGTGGCGGCAAAAGCCCTGAAGTCCGATGTCTGTCCATTCAGGGCTTGGGTCTGTCCCTCCCTGTCTGTCCCAGCTGCAGTCCAGGGCCATGTGGCTCTGAGCAGGAATCACACTTAGAACAAAAGGCTGGACAAAGGCAAGATCCCAGCTCAGGGGAAGGGAAAGGCGAACAGGGGCCTCTACTCACCACAGAATTTCATTTCTGGTCAGGAAGGTCAGGGCCTGCAAAACATCAGAGATGTGGCCGGTCACTCAGTCCAGCCCCTCCTGGCCCCCTGGGGAGTGGAGAGCTTTGGAGCAGGGAAAGAAAAGCCTAGTCTCTCATTCCACTGCTGGGGACATGGAGGCACTACAGCCCAAGGTAACAGACACCTGATGTGGTGGCAGAGGCTGAGGTGGTGCCTTTCTCTCCTCCTTGCAGACCTAGAGAGGGGATCAGAGACATGGCCCAAATCCTGGGCTCTGGAGCAGGAGATGGGGGTGGGGGGGGGCTGCAGAACTGGTTCATGCCACATGGACGCAGGTTTAGCAAAGGCAAGAGCCACCTTCCCGCCTGGTAAACTCTAGCATCTCAGGAAAGAGTTCTCCATTATCCCACCTGCTCTGGGAAGCTCCCACCTCTGACCAGAACTCCCATCTCCCCACCTGGTACTCTTCCAGGTCCTCCCAATGCATCTGGTATCTCAAACACTGTCCCATGCCAACCTCAGCCTTCTCTCTGCCAGCAGTAGAACCTTGGCCCCAAGGTCTCACCAGCTGGTGGTACCACCAGTTGATCTGGTTGCCATAGTGACCCAAGTTCCACCTTCTGACCCCAGGTTGGCACAGAGACAGGTTCTTTAGGTTCCCCAGGATAATAGAACCTAGATCTCGAGATCCACACTGTTATTGGCTCTGGAGTCAACCCACCTGGGTTCAAATCTTAAATCTGCCACCTGGTGACCATGTAACATGGGGTAAGCTACTTAGTGTCCTAAAGTGAAGATGATAATTAGAGATTGCTGTGCGGGTTAGTTGAGTTAATACAGATACCATACCTGGCACATAGTAAGTGCTCAATAAATGTTACAGCCAGGTCCCAGTACTGTGCCAGACATGGGATACAGAGAATAAGGATCTTCCATGCCATCAGTCAGGTCCCTGCAAGAACAGAGGCCACATTCAAATTAGGATGACAGGAAGAGTTTCTAATAAAGGAACTCTGCACTGAGGTGAGATGAAGGTGTAGGAAGTCACCCAGGATCATTCAGAATCCTGGGGGTCCTGACAACAGAGTTGTCACCAGCTCTGGCCCAATAGCTCGTAGAAGAAACACCCCAGGTCACTCTCTCTTCTTCCTCTGATCTCCTGAGGCAGGGAGTCAAGATCAGGACTGGGAAAAACGGAGAAAATGACCGTACAGCCATCAACGTGGAAGTTTAGGAGGGTCCTTCCGAAGCCACCTCCCCTCCTCTGCCTCCTGGGTGGTCTGAACAGCCACCCTCCAGGACAGGTGCTATTTCCCTGGCCTGGGGCAGATCCTCCCCCATCCTGTCCTAGGTGAAGAGCCCAGGGACTTTCTGGTGCAGATAATCTGTGTTTCTAGAAACGCAGCTGCACTGTGTCCCCAGAGACAGCCTGGCAGGAGAAGCCTGGAGCTCTCTCGTTCCTTCATTTCCTCAACAGACACCAGTCCAAGTATCCACAAGGTGCCCAGGACTCCACTTGACCCTGGGGAGCGCCGACGGCACACCCACATCCCGAGCACGTGCGTATACCCTGGCGATGGAGGCAGAGGACACGGAGGTAACAGTGCAGAGATGTGAGAATGTGGAAGAGGAGACGCTGTGGGCAGAGGGCATTCCAATAGCTGTACACGGTGGTTGAGGACAAGGACTTTGAAATATGAAAGGCCCGGCTGCGTCTCTCCTTGCTGCGTCTCCTTTCGCACCAGTCTGAGAAAATCCTAAAGCCACTCCAGACCTCGATCCCTCCACCTGCAAAATGGGACTAATGAATCCATACTTTATAATTATTGCAAGAATGAAATAAAATGATGTAGGTAAAACTCTTTTTTAACAAGATACTGTGCATGTTGAGAACTCAATGAAGGGCAAATCATATTATTTTTCTAAAGGTTGGGCATGGGAGGAAGAGCAGGACTTCAGCAGGCAAAACCAGCAACTAAATCCCCTCTCCCACTAAACCCTGCCATTTACTGAGTAGCTCCTATCTGCCAGGCTTGTGTGCAGAAGCTGGCTCTATTTATGAGACAGCAGCTCTGGGAGATTGGTGGGGTATCCTTGATCCTTTGATCAGGGGAAAGAGGAAACTGGTGAGGGTAAATGACACCCTTGGCATGGGCAAGTTGCAGGTCTGAGGATTCCCAAAGCATGGAGTGGGGAACCCAGGAAGGCCAGGGGACTGTTGAGATCACTTCCTTCTTCATTCTCGCTGGGTTCTCCTGATTACATGAGGTGCAAGTGGCTGTTAGACACCAGCTGCTTGTGCCTTTAACAGCTGGCTGACATTTGCTTAAAGGAAGGCAACAAAAACAAAGGAGCCCAGAGATCTGAGGTCCTGGCTTAGCTCCTATGCATTGGCCTAGGCAGTGGAGACACCCCGTGAACGGGAGCCCACAGCCTTGGGTGTCATGGAGCTATGAGAGCCGGAAAGCAAGAACCAAGCTGGAGGGCTGGCGCTGGAGCATCACCCAAGCAGACACCTGACTGAGCCACGATCCGGGTCGAGAAGATGGGGACAGTGTTCCAGGCCCAGAAGGCTGCAGGATCCAGCTAGAATTGCAAAACACTGTTTGGTTTTCATATTTGTTTTATAGGGTAACTTCCATTCTGAAAATGATGCAGGTTCATCATTTATAAGTGGTATAAAATGTCCTTTATACATGTATCTCTTTAATTAAAAGAAATAGGAGCCCATTAAAGAAAGACATTAAGTAAATGATTAGACCAGTGGTAAAGAAATGTGCCAGAAATCACAAAGGTCTCTTTTTCCCCCCTCTCTCCCCCCCGCCCCCCCCCCCTCTCTCACACACACACACACAGTCAAGGTTTGCCAACTCTGCCCCCTCCTCTCTCCTTTAGCTTTCATCCTCTGGAACTCACACACCCCGCCCCGCCCCCCACAGGCTTTATGGATTTTGTCCTAGAGAAGGTTTTCATTGGTTCCCACAAATAACAATGGTAACAATAAGAATGTCACCTTGTATTTGCATATCTTTTTACAATCCCCAAATGCTTTTTAATGTACCATCTCATTTGCCCAAGAAATAAAAGCTTATATTCCTTTAAAAAAAAAGAAAGAAAAATCCCCCCTGTGATTCTGCTTTTAACCAACCTGCACCCTCCCCCATCAGTGCCCGACATCTCCCGAACTCCTCTTTAACTATGATTTTGAAAGGGGTATGATTGAGCAGGGAGCAGGCTCTCTGGAAGGACAGGTCTATGTTTTTCCCCTTTAGGGTCTGCATGGGACAGAATGGATTCTTTGTAAGATTTCTGTCACCGTGCAACGGACTCTACAGATTCTTAAAACTGCAAACCCTTCTCCAACATGGATTTAGACATCTCTTTCAACAGACACTGAAAAAGAAAATGTATCTATAATATGTAAAGAACTCTTATAAATCAACAATAAAAAGACAAACAAGCTAAACTAAAAACATCATTGGCTATCAGGGAGATAGATAGAAGTCAAAATGACAGTGAGATTCCTCTTTGTACCACTAGGATGGCTGTTTTAATAAAGGTAAATAACTAATGTGAGTGAAGATATGGCGAAAGTGGAATCCTCACACATTAATGGTGGAACTGTTAAATCGTGCCACCACTTGGAAACCTCTGGAAGTTTCTCAAAATATGAAGCAGAGTTACCCCATGACCTTACCGTTCCACTCCTAGACAGACCTAATAGAAATGAAAGTATAGTATACACAAAAATCTTACATAAGAATGGTCATGGTAGCATTTTTTTGCTACAAAAATAGAAACAGCACTCTATGGATCTTGCTTTCAAGATGGAAGGAGGAGGAGGAGGAGGAGGAGGAGGAGGAGGAGGAGGAGGAGGAGGAGGAGAAATAATAATTATGGTCCTACCAAAAAGGCCTAATTGCTCCACCAGATACATGCCAAGGACAAGACCATTAAGAAGTTTGTTGCTGAAACACAGTAGAACATAGTAGAGGCCACAGCCATGGGATATTTCTGAAGCGAGTGTCTTCAACACTATGTGCTTCCCGGGCTCCATGTGAAGCCACATAACTGTGTAAATTGTGCCATTCACAGCAAGGTGCTCAGGGGTTGATCTCATGAAGCATAGAAAGACCAACCCTTCCCCCCACACCCCCTATCTCCCCAATCTAGACCTGCTAATACTGGCCCACCTCCTCCACCAGAGCCCATGTGAGGAGCTGGGTCCTTAAAGACAAAGAAAAACCATTTTCTAGAAAAAAAATAAATTTTCAGAAGCTAAGCGGGGAGGAAGATTAGGGAGTAAGTGCTAATGGGTAGGGTCTGTCCCCCCATAGCCTGGGGTAATGAACTTGTTCTAAATTAGATGGTGGCGATGATGTTACAAATCTGAATATTCTAAAAACCACTGAGGTATACACTTTACAAGCATGAATTGTATAGTATGTCAATCAGATCTCAAAGCTGTTATTTTTAAAATGTCAGGGGGTGTTTAAATCTTACCTTTATGCTTCTCTCACAGTAAGCCGCCATAAATATTATTAAAGAAATGTGTAAATGAGAGGCTGTGGCCAAGTCCTGTAGCCCTGGGGGCTCCACCTACAGCAGCGGTTCAGCGCTGGGACCAGGGTAGAGCCTGCTGGAGCAGGTCAATGTCTGGCTCTGAACCTAGACTAGACTTTTGAGCTCCCAGCAGGCTGGAAAGCTATGCTTTGTCCATAGAAAGGAATTTCTAAATTGCTTTGGTGTGGCAAGGTACAGGCCTGAGGGGAGAGCACATCCTGGTTTCTCTGGGGACATCCTGGACTTGAGAATGGCAGGGCCACCTGGTAGTTCGGGACAGAGAGGATGAAGACCGCATTGAGGAAGTGAGACAGCCCTGTGCTCCTTACCCAAAGATGGGGCCATGTTGCTTAGAAACGTCCTGGAGCACAGAGAACCTGGCACTGGAGCCGGCTTTGCAGAGGCAAAGGGGCCTCTAGGCTCCTACGCACGCTGCAGCGGCTCCAGCACCATTTGACCACAGGTGCACAGCGGCAGGAGAATGCCCAAGGCAGGGCTGTTGGCTTCCCTGGCTGTAACCAAGAAGTTCCCACAACCCCACAAGGGTTAGGGCGCAGAGGGCCTAAACAGGTTGCAGAGCTCAGTAAAGCGCTTTCCTGGGGCTAAATGGGACCCGATGGACTCCCATAGCGCATGCGCACATTACCCAAAAGGCCAGGTGTGGAGAATATGGACAGATAATATCCTGAAATTTCAATCTTTGTGTCCTTTCCCCCACCTTCCCATAAGACACAGTTTTTCTCTTGTCTCCCATTTGCATTGCCTGGGGAAGGGAAAGTAGAGTTGTTACAGCATGGGGGGGTGGGGGAGAAGCAGTCAATGTTCCATCAATAAACCAGACTTTAGGGAGTCTGAAGGGAAGGCTGAGGGAAGGAGAGACTGGGGTGCATAACAGAAGGACAAAAGGAAGCACCATGCCACCAGGGAGGCTGGCCAGCGTGTCCCCACCAGCAGCATCCCAGTTGCCAGCCCTAGGGAACCCTGCTCACTGCACAGGGGGAGAGGCACATACGTCACTGGCTGCTTCTCTGCTACCTCCACCACAGCAGCCACTCCAGCTGTCACTCACTGCCCTGCTGTTCGCTTCCCAAGGCTTTGCTGACACAGACTGCCCGACATACATGCCCAAGTTCCAATGGCCCAGGATACAGAAAATCTCCCCAGAAAAGAGGATGCAAGTTCTTGACAGAGAACAGGGAGGACTGGTGGGCATGTGGAAGGAAATGTTCTTGGGCTCTGGACAGGGGTGACCCTGCCCTTTTCATCTTGCATCAGACCCAGGGTGCCCCATGTCACTCTGGTTTCAAGCACTGCGGCTTGGGTGGGTCCATGTGAGCTTCGTCCACCTCCCACTGACAGTGTTGCCTCAAGGATTCTTGAGCCTTCATTTTCT